AAAGATTTTTATTTTTGTCCATTGATAGTTAAATAGAAGCCTGGAGTCATCTTCCTTTGAGACTTCTTATTTCAGAAAATTATCTTAAATCCCTAGGAAGGAAGAACTTACAACGTGTAGCAAACACAGTACACCTCTTTCTGACCTACTGACTTAATGCTAATGCAGTCTTTCTAGGGGATGTCTTTTCCCTTTCTTATAATGATTTTACATAATTTAAATAAAAGTACAAAGTAACATGGCCCTTGTCTAAATTACACAAAAATTAGATCTAAGTGGTCTGTAAATGATGGCAGAAATGGGGACATAAGCCTCTCATTAAGGCTCTGAAAAAAGATTTAATTCAGCAAAGCATTAATGGGACTTTTACACATTTTAGAATATATCTAGCAATACCAAAAATGGATATGCAGTTACTAGTGAACTAAGTGGAGGTTTGCTACATATATGGATTTCTTATATGCATGGAAATAATCTACTGTTACCACTATGGATTAAAATAATTAAAATGTTTGTAAGGGGCAAAGGATGGTGGTATATTATGTCATAAGGTTTTGAAACAGTGGTTTTATTCAGGGAAAAAAGTATGATATATAATGCATTATATACAGCTATTGTTTTCATCCAAAATAACTACTGTTAGAAAAGCTCTTTGCAACACACTTTAAGATAAGCAAATAGCAAATTTACCTTGAGTTCTAGTGGAGGAAAATTCCCTTAAACTCTGAATTTTAAAAGGTTCATGGGTATTCACATCAATGTGCTACGGTATTAGAATATATCTTATTTTGCATCTAATTTCCTTCCTACATAGGCTGCTAACATATAATAAATAGGTTTTCACTGCTATTCTTCTACTAGTCTCAAAGGAGACTATAGCAATGTCCTTTCTGAAATTAGTAATTTTAGCCCAATCCACAATGATGATAATGGAGATGAAACAAAAAACATTGTATTTTACATTAAAAAAAAAAAAGACTAGCTGGTCAATTATCCAGGTTAATACTATTTCTCTGTATGGAAAAGCTTCCCAGCATGACTAATTTCCTCCTGTAGCTCACTAGAAAAATTAGCATATCCCTATTGATAATG